CTGCGAGAATCTGGCGAGAAAAAATAACAGAGAGAGAATGTAAAAGAGTTTCATGCAGATGTGCAGCGTAAAAAGACAACAGTAACCTGTTGTCAGCTGAACGGCTTTTAAACAAAATGCACAGTGTGGAAAATCACTGAGGGTTTAACTGTTTTATTTTGATATCAAATCATGAACTGAAGCTTTAAAGTATAAGGAAAAACATTTCTTTATTCAACTGATTTGGACTAAAGAAGTCATCCTTCAGAGGATTTACTGAAGTCTATAAATTACACCGTTTTAGATAAAAACTGCAAAACAGCATTTAAGATGAAACTGACACATCAATTTTCCATGCAATTCTGAAACAAACATGCATTTATTAAACATCAGACAAAAAATGTAACAGCACATGGCAACATTATAATTACTTGGCAACTGTTGGGATTAGAGTGGACAACAAAAATCAACATTTAACAAAATGTTTCATTTCAACAAATTTAATTTATTTGTTTTTTGTTTTATTTTACACAGCCAGAGGTCAGACTGACTTTGGATGCTGTGTTAAAGAAAATGTCTGTTTTTTTAGGTCAGTTTTCTACAAACACTGACAGACTTGACAATGACAAATTCAACCACTGTGTTTGTTATGATCACTTCAAAAAGTTGACACCATCATCTGACGCTGTCTAGACTGCACTGTCACTGCTTTAACTATCTAGCTACCATGTCACTGTCACTGTCATATGCTGGTTTTCGCCTCATCTGTTTATTTTAGATAAGGCAGATCAGCTGACGAGACCAGTCCTTATAACACTGCTCTCACTCACAAACAAGTAAAACACTCTCAAATAAATGTTATTTATTTCTCAAACTGAAATAAATAACATTTGTAAGCTGACTATTATGGTTTTATCATTTTACTCATAATACACCAATAAAGATTCACAGCTCTTAGATATGTTAGATGACAGTTAATAAACTCTAAAATTAACACTGCTATAAAACAACTCCTCTTAAAGAAATAAAACCTAATATTTTTAAAAAATATATCTTTGGACCCAAACATAGAGAGTTTGGTATGTTACTTACATTGTAACATTTAGGCAAACGAAATAACCTCATGAGACAAATTTTATTGCTAAAAATAAAACATGTTACAACCTGCTTTGCTATTTTAGGACGATAATTTGGAGAAGTGAGCAAGTGTTGCCAGGGTGTCTTATTATAACCACGGATTTATTAATGCTGATTTTATTACATGTGCTAATATGTATGCAAGCATAAACATTTAATAATTAATACAAATAGTGTTTCTTGTGAACAAACCACTAGAAATAAATAGATCTGTGTCGTTTTGTTGCTCACCTCTGCTGTCTCCCATGATGGTGGTTGGGGCGCAGGGGCTGCTTGGCAGCGTCAAGCCGGCGTTCTTTCGTCTCTAACAGCCCGCTGTCAAACTCGAGACCGCGGACTGAGGCCCGGGCCGGAGTTGGTTTGGGAAACCAAAAACGGGTCTGAAATTCCAACACAAGGAAGAGCAAGAAATAAAAATAAGCATATGAGGCCGATATCCCAGTGACTGCAATCAAAAAATAAAACAGTTGCGCAAATGGTTGCGATTACTTAATCTGCTGCTGCCAGAAGACATAAAAGCGAATCTGTTGATTTTTTTCCCTGGTCATTTTGTGTAACGTTACAGTTTGGCTTTGAAAAGCAGCCAGCTGCTCAGCTGGTGCCAAGAACGTTCTGTCCGGATATATTACAGGGTTGTAATAGTTCAATATTAATCCAACAGCGTGTTACTGACATAACACATTGTGCGTTTATCGCAGTGATTAAAACATCTCACGGCAACATAGCCCAGACGGAGCCCTGACAGATGGCAACAAACCACTGCTGTTCTAAGACAGCTAGTTGGTAGGGCTCGTAAACTAGCCAAGCTAACGTCACAAGAAAACTTAAAATATCAGACTGTGCCGTACAAGTAACTTGTTTTACTTATTTTTCAATGTGAAATCAAACGCAAAGCACTCGGCACACAGTTTAAAGAAAGTTCATATTTCTTGTCACGTTTAGAAACCATATATTAGAGTCTGTTTTAAGTTGGCAAGGTAAGCTAGCTATGTTTAGCCACCTACCCCAGCAAGCTAACTAGATAGCTAAAGTAGATCGGAGGAAAACAGGACAGACAAGAACAAACCGGATTATCCCTGGCAGTCCCGCCTCTGTCTCATTCTCTCATATATATACTAGCTGAATTATTTAAATGCATATTTATAGCAAATAAAAACGTATTACTGACGGTTTAACGGCGCAGCTTCTTCGCATGAAAAGATGTGGCGACTAGGCCCCGTGTGTGTCTATCTCTCCCCCCACTTTGCCTCGCAGTCAGCCCTCCCTCCCTGCCTCCCCCTGCGCCGATGAAAACATGATGATGGTGGAGGATTTGGCTTAGTGCTCCGTTACAGATGAACATTGGCCCCGAAAAATCACTGCAACAGCAACAGAGAACCCTGGTTTCGGAGAGTGGTCATGATGCGCCTCACGTCTCTGAGAGAGGGAGACACATCCAGTGCAAGAGGTCAGGAGGTCAAGACAAGTTCAGCTTTGCATTTCAGTAGCTCCAAAGGTTATTGTCGGACATCGGTGAGTTCATCAGTTTCGTTATTGCTTGAACCAGTGTGTACTCTTATGCAATACTCAGAGTTTTATTGCACCAATATTCCTCATAATCACTGCTGAGTAAACACATAAATGACCTGATTTAATCCATACTGGTTACTTTTGTTTGGAGTCTAATATTTAAATATTAATTAAAAAAAATAAATAAACAAACGTATTTAATTTGACCAAATAGTAACCAAAACAGATCAACACAGCATCTCTACTTAAAAACCTGAAAAACTATAAATTGCACTGTTTTGCTGAATATTTGTATGTGCTATTAGTCATAAGGAGCTGCAATAACAACACTGAATGATAGTTTTGCTACAAAAATGACTGCACTGTTTATTGTGTAATTAACATTATGTGGGACCAAATAAAACCACGTTTACGTACATTTGTATTGTATTTTTCTCTTTTCCATTAGCTCAACAACATGTGTTTAGAGTCTTCACTTTCTGCTTTTAAGTTAGATTTTTTGGGTTTTTATAGGGCTTGCAGCTATTCTCTTTGGAACAAGTTTTGCACTGGATATTTCCTCATCTAAGTGCAAATAATGGCCTATTTTTTTCAAACATATACCAAACAAATTAACTGTATATAGAAGAGCATATAAGACAAGTCTGTTTTTTGTGTAATTTCATTTAAAAGTGGGCATTTTGAAAATATGACACTAATATAGAATTCATGCAAATAAAGTTTTTAAAATAAAAATGAAAAAATTAATTAATAATTTATTAATCTTATTTAATAAGATTTATTCATTAAAAAAATCTCTCACAAAATAAATGCTTATGTCAAGCAGTTAAGTTCATTATTAAATCAAATTTTGTATTTATTTACTTCTTCTCCTTCTGTTAATACACATGTCTAATAACACAGCTCACGTCTTTTCTTGGACGTGTTTTTCTTCATAACTTTTTTGTTCTTTTGCAGGATATTCCTATTCTTGATGAAAATTGGTTTCTTTCAATAGAGATTTGAAATACATTATCACCCCCAAGTGGCCTGACATGGTACTACAATTACATAAAACGGACAAGCTTACAGTTCCTGGGATAAATAAAGTCTAAACGCAATTTTATTTTATTTAGTAAACTTACTGCAATTCCGGCGATACAGTAGTGGACTTACTTGTTCCCCCTAATTTCATAAAGAAATATGAAGGAAGTGCTTGGAATCCTATAAAGCTTAATGCAAAACTTTATTTTTGGGAAAAATAATTGTGGATAAATTTATGCCATAACACTATAAGAAATGTTTAACTTCCTTCTCAGAATTTATTACACCATGTTTTTAACAGATAAGCAAACCCAATTACTAGACCTTTTGCAGATGTATGCTAGATGTTGGTCTCAGGTACTTTTTAAAGGCTTTAAATTCAGATACATAAATAATGCCATTATTCTTTGTCATTCTCCTCCATAAAGTCAGAAAAAGGTTTAACAGTTTTTATTTTTTTTAAGTCAACAGAGATAGACAGAGAGCAAAAACCCAGAACAAATCTTGACATGTTGTTTTTAATCACTTTATTTTGAAAACATGTAATAGTACAAAAGTATCAGATTTTAAAACAAAGTACATAAAATAATATTTTAAAGCAAATAAAAGCTACTGAAGTCCAAATTCAAGGACAAAGACTAACTTTATCTTCATGTTTTACATTGTTTTGAATTTTAATAATTATCATATTAGCTTTACACATTTATTCAGGGTTTAACAGAAGATGGCATTTTTACATCTATGCTAGACTAAAATGTTTCTGTGTGTTACATTTCCATATTACTATGGAAATGTAACATCCTTTTGTGTTGATGCTTCTTAAGCTTTTTGTATTCAGTCACATCTAGAACAAGGAAAACCTTAAAACATTGTGATTTCACTGATGAAAGTAATCAGTTACACCTTTTAATATTATCTAGAAATCAACCTGCAGTTTCAAAAACTGAACCCAAACCTGGTCATTTGTTGCATTTCAAACAAACACTAATTAATGCTGAAGATGTCTCTATCTAAATATGTGCATGTGTGCCTCACGCATGTGTGTGTCGGTGCTGCGTTAGGGATTAGCCCCAGTGTGTGTCCACTAGTGATTAGCCTGGTCAGTGGGCCTGTTGTGCATTCACTCAGGACATTAGCATATTAATGCAGCCTCGCTCTTGATCTCCCTCTGCCCTCTAACTCTCCCGCTCTGTCCCTCTCTCGCATTTTCTCTTTCTCTATACATATTTCCCAGACTGCAATGTTGCTTCCTGCAGCTTCAATCTATAAATCTCACCAATTTACACTCCTTGTGCTGTGAAGCAGCACACAATCTGGCCACACAAACTTCAAGGTTCCTGCTCTTCTTTTTCCCTCCAAAAATCTGCCTCTCCCCCCACTCTTTCTGCACCACATTCAAATCCTTCACTTGCTCTCATTTTCCCTTTTCTTTCTCCAGGTCTGCCTCCCCCCTGAACTTTGTCAAACACAGGAAAACACACACAGAAGCAAATTCACAGGAGCAAACACAGAGAGGGTGAGTCCGCACACACTCACACACACAGAACCCCAATCCCCATTCATTCTCCTTTTCTGTCACTTTACCTTTTCCAGTGCAAATTTAGCAAGACCTGCTTTAGACTTCAGTGCTGAAGTGAAGTGTGAGCCGGACACATTCAACTATTCAGCTTCTTGCTGCACCTCAGACAGACTTTAACCTTGTTTCCAACATGGGGAGTCTCCTGGTCTGCAGAGCAAGATGAGTAGGAACAATTAGACATGCCACCTGTGGGAAAGAAGCAATTAAAGTGAGCAGATATTCAATTAATTGGAGTTAATTTTCACTCTCAACTGATGCAAGCTGGAATTCATCTTTTGTAATGAGAAACATTAATGCTTTCTAAAGACTTTTCATTTTGGAAAAAAATATGAGCTTAGCATAGATACAAAGGTGATGTTTAAGTTGGATTACATTTAGGCAAATCAGGTGACTTCCTCTTCACTTGCTGTACTTGTTGCCAGGAAATATTGTTAGCTTTTCTCAACATAAGTGCAATATTCTATTAAAACTAAGTTTAAGAAACTTTGATGAAAAGCTTCTAGAGCATCAAATCTTAAAATTGCATCGGTCTTATTAAGAAAACCTTCAGGATGTCTTGCAAAAATGTCAGATGGGTTTCTTGAAGGCTTTAGATTTACATAAACTCACACTCTCTGCCTCGTTCAATAGCACTCTCCCTCTATCTGTTTGTCTTTCTGCGCCTCACTTTTCCACCCACAGAGCCGCTGAGTTTGATTCCATCCATGGCGGTCTGTCCCTCGCTGATGTTCGGAGGTCAGGGGCGTGATGTCCATCCACAACTCCTGGTTTCACAAAGGCAGACGCAAGAATTGCGTTTGGACAATCAACTCCAGACCTCCACGTCTCCTTTGGTCATTAGAGGACTCACATTCCTGAAGAGGCAGGTGCATCGCCTGGTTGTGTGGCAGTTGGTGCAGAGCTGATTTAGTGATTTAAGTTTCAAGCCACCAAGGCCTGGGAGAGGATCCAAAATATCAGTTTGTCCACTTGCTGAGAAGAAAGGTTCAAGCAGTGTTTGTCCGTGGCCCTCACCCACAATCAGCGATTGTGGGTGAAAAAAAAGAAAGACCTGAAAAAAGAAATAACCAAGAATAAGCCTGAGAAAGAGAAAGGGAAAAAGCGCTAACTCATGCTTGTATTCTGAGCCGGTGACACCATGATAAACGAAGGGGTCACCACCCGGGGGCAGGCCCGTCCTAAAGGAGCCAGCGCTGTGACCTTGCACAAAAGAAGGAGTGGGTCCCCCCCAACGGTCACACGGATCAAAGAGGACAAAAGCCTGAGATGATAACTCAGCACAGCAGTTGTGCACCTGATTATCAAGCACATAAGCAACAGGGATAGAAAATTTCCCCAACTTAGCTCAAGTGAGGGTGGAGTAACGGGATGCTTGAGAATTAAAAAGTAAAACCATGACTCGCTCTAATCTGATTTGCCGAATGCAACATTTTCTCTTTATCTGCTTCGCTCTGTTAGGCGTTCTCTCTTTCTGTGGGACTCCGTCTTTATCCAAATGATGTGGTCTTTGGTGAGGCCTGGCCTATTCATCCAAACCCCATGTGCTGTGTGCCCACCATTGAGGTGCAGAGTAGCATGGTCACAAAGGATGGCAGCAACTCAGCGAGCTTGTTCCTTAAAGTTTTAAGCCTGTGTTCAGAATAAAGTTTGCAGTTAGAGCCAGAAAATATTTCACTTTGTTGAAAAAAAAAATAAATTCAAAGTGGAATCTCTTAAATTCCACTTTCTTAAGTCCTGGTATGTTTCAGCATTGTAATAGTAAGTTTACAACATTTCAATTATCTTTTCCTAATGAAGTCCATAAAGTCTAATGGTTAAAAGTTTTTTTTAACAGTTGCAAGTGCCTTACAGTAAAGTTCACCTTTACCTATGCATTAACAGAAATAATTTGTTTTGCATTCTGAACAATTTTCATAAACACTTTGCTCTATTTTTCTAACCTCCTTCCTTACAGCAAGTACTGATCCTGCTGGAATGAAAAAGGCCTGAAAGCCTAAACTTTTCTGCCTCACACTTGTCTGCAGGCACTGATGATGCTCGGTGCCCTGTTTAAAAGTGACAAAAAGATGTATTACCTAAAGGAAAGGAGGCTTGTAGTGCCAGGTATTAAGACCCTGTGGGACATAAAATCTGGATCAAGAATTTCTGCAAAAAGCCCGCCATAAAGTCCCTCTCAACCACCGATCATTCATCCTTACATGTGCGACCGACATCCTCTCTTCTACTCCATCCTCCCTCCGTTCTGGGTCGAATTTTAGCTGCATCGCTGTCGACGTCTGACCGCACTTGTCCTACTTCTCCATCTTTCACTCTCTCTGCTTTTGCCTCTTCTGATCCTGCATCCTTCTCCCTCTCCTTCTTCAACCCTTTCTGTCGGGCCCACCCTCCGCCTTTACATTTCCTCTTGGTTTCCCCGCCCTCTTTCGCCTCTCTCTCCCTCTTCTTTCACTCATTCCTTGTCTCTCGCTCTCTCTCTACCCTCATTTCATGCAGCGCTGGGGTTACCTAAGAGACTGGGCCTCAATGGAGAAAATCTCCTTTGGTACAATGAATTGGGCGAGAGGCAGAGGGGAGGGAGAGAAATGGGGGGTGCAGGGTAAAATCAGGGGGTGCTGGACACAGGAAGGGAGGTGGGGTGGAGGGAAAGTGAAGGGAAAAGATAGTGGGATGCAGATGCATGCAGGGATAGGAGGGGGATACGAAAAATTGAATAAGTGGCTTCGCTTGTGTGATTTCGCCTCAGTGGTCAGTCTTTTGATGGATACTTATGGTGCCCACCCTCCCCCCACCTGCTCACCACTTGGACCAGTTGGTCCCACTAATTAAGAATGAACTAATTTGAGGTATTCAATAAAATTTCTAAAAAACTCTAAATAAATCATAAAAAAATATTAAACTAAAGTATCATATTGATTGATTTTGACATGGTCAAAAGTTCAAAATCATTTTGTGTGCATGAGCGACGTCAGAGTCTGTAGGTGCCGTTTTGTTTGTTCACTGTTTGTTTGCTCTTGGCTGGAAGTACAAGATGGCACCCAAAGGAGCATAGTTCTTCTTACAAAGACAAAAAGTGTTTTCACTGCATGAACCTTCCCCATTAAAGACAAGTAACCACACAATAGCCTTTAATCTTTTCCCTGTCTCAGCTTGGGAGATGTTCTCTGAGAAAAAGAAAAAAAATGGAGGCCTGACACATGCAGTCTTGTTTGGAGGTTAGTTACTGATTAGCACTAAAGTGTTGCAGTTCATTTTCTTGTTGCACCTTATTGAGCTCCTCAGCCATTCTATTAACTTTGTCATTTGTCTCTGAGTTGGCAAACAGATCCCCTGCTGCTCAGTTTTGTCTCTTTACAACTCATCCCCCCTCCACGAACCCCTCATCACAACCGAGGATGTGAGAAAACAATAGAGCTAATAAAAGAAGCAGGGAGATAATTACAACACCGCTAAGAAGGTGGCCCACGCCCTAACCCATCAAAAGCAGCGATGTAAATCTGGATATGGGGGCAACGTTGGGGTTCTTTTAATGCGCTTTTCAGATGAAATGATACTTATCCTTATTTCCATGTATGTCCGTGTAAATGCCAGGATGAATCTGGGATCTCTGTGTTAATGACTCTATCAGGGCCTGATACCCACAGGCTCCTGCTGAGGAAAGAGATCCAAAGGGATTGGGGTGTTCGAGTGTGGCGCAGGAGGTGTCAAAGTTGGGTTTGGGGCGCTCTGAGTGTGTGTGTGTGTGTGTATAAGTATGTGTGTGTGTTTAAAACTGGGGACTGAAGGGGGTGGGGGTGGCGAGGGCAGATTGTCCCTTCTGCTGAATGAAGTTATTTCCAGGCCTCTGTCCATCTGTTACCGTGGCAGCAGCGGTGACCAAGGTGTTGCCATGGTGAGGTGGACACAAAAAGGCGTGGCGTGGGAACGGGTCCAGGGGTCAGGAGTGAGGGTCGGAGGGTCAGGGGTCACAGCCAGCTGGACAGCACACAAGAGGCGATCAGGGTGAGAAAAGAAGGAGGGAAAGTTTCATTCTCTTTCTCTTTTTTCGCCTTTTCTTCTCTTGGTTTTTCTGCTCTGGAGGGAGACGTCCGAAGAGTGGACACCACTGGACATTAACATTGAACTGGGGCGGTGAGATGAAAAAGACGGTGGGTGAAGGGTGGAGGAAGGTTTCACAGAGCGGGGCCCCCACAATGTCCAGGCTTTGGGTGGGGGGCTCCCCTCCATTAGGCCTTCTACCTTACTGATGTCTAATCGCGCAAAGCATTTGACAGGCAATTGACTCCAGTCAATGTACGTGCAAATGTGACTGCGTGGACGGCTGTGTGTGTCTGTCTGTGTGGCCGCCGTGGGTTCGATACCCAGACCAAACAAAGCCTTTTTGACAGCATTTCAGTTTGGTCATTTTGTGCTCAAAACCTTTTTGAGACAATGGAACAAACTGAAGGCGGCAATGAATCAAAATCATGGGCTGAAGGTGGGAAAGAGCCGCCATCATATCCTTACATGGAACAAAGTCCCATAGACTTTCATAAAACTGCCAAAACTTTGAATCTGAACCTTTTTGATTTGAAACAGTCTCTCTTTTTTTGTGGCTGTGGACACAAAAGTAACAGCACACAGACCAGCAGTCATGTATTATTTTCCTTAAAAGAGTTTGTATTTGACGGCTTAATGGGTTTTGTGCTGGAGAAACAGTGTTCAAAGTGTTTCATTGAGCTTTTAACTATTTATTTGAAACCTTCTTTTCTCCAGTGTTTAATGGTGACAGTAAAAATAACTACAATACTTTTCAAACAGAAGAGCTGTGTGCACAAGTTTGAATCTAATAAGGATTTTTCTCCAATCCATACAGATTAAGAATTACATACAAAAGCAAATTCATACACCTGTTTTTTATTTAGATAAATATTCGTGAAAAGTTGGAAGAAATTAAATAGTTAAACTAGTTGATTTTATTAATCAGATCAGATTAAGCACTGTCCACACATTTTCAATGTGCATTACATTCAGTAATACAGTTTTAATGTGTCCTGTTTGGTTGAAACTTTAAATAATGTAAAATCTTTACTTATGTGACATAAGTTCTTATCTTTGGGGGAAAGGAAAGTTGAGAATTTATAGGAACAATTCAGGAAACCCCAAAACTCTGGCCTGTCAAAAACTGGAGCTGCTGGAACCACATCCTTACTCTCTGTAGCAAAGTGAGTTTAACATCAATGTGGACTGAAAGGGAAATCAATAGAAAAGAAACGCATGCTGCCCACATGGATAAACCAGAGATCTATGCTGAAGAGTGACAGAGACTGAGATTTGAAGTCGATGTGAGGCCTTCAAGCACACAAGAACACTGTGCCAAATATCTGGTATGGTTGAACAAAGTGGAATAATGAAGAAGAAGGACTACCTTTATATTAAACTGCTAGATAGTTAAAAGTTGGAGGTAGTTTAAACTGCTAGATAGTTAAAAGTTGGAGGTAGTTTAAACTGTTAGATAGTTAAAAGTTGGAGGTAGTCTGGTGTTCCAAACACACATCCAAACAGGTTGAGGAATGGTAAATCAGCCTTCCTGAAGCCTTGACCTTAACAGTATTAATGTATGAAGTACACACACACAAAAAAAACATTTAATCAAATACTATCCAACTTTCTGCACTCAATTGCTGTTTTTAAAATGACTGGAAGTTGAATTGTGAATAAATTTTCCACCACTGAAAAAGCAGATTGAATGCATCCTAAGTGATATGAGATTTTTACCAGTGATGATTGTTCTTTGCACGTTCTCTTGTTATTTGTATTTTAAACTGTAGTCTTTGGCAGAAAAACATTATAACTTGCATAAAAACTTTGCTCTGATTTGTCTGGTGCAGGTATGAATTCGCTGACTGATGTAGGTCAGTGGACCAGATCTGGTTCTCTGGTCCAATCGGATTTAAGGTAACCATCAGGAGACAGCATAAATTATTTTTAGTTTTGTGGCTTTTATACATACAACACATTCAGACATGTTGTATGTGTTGCTTCATTCTCTGCTTTTTGTTATGCTTTTTAGTTTTGTCTCTTTCCAACATGTTCAGGTAAAAACTTTTTTGAGTAAATTTTGTTTTATTTGCAGATCAGGTTACGATGACATAGATGCGGCATTGTTGTTTAATAAATACTTCAAAATTACAGACTGTAAACATCTGATTTATTTGATTTTAGACATAATTATTGGTTTTATTAAAAAATGAATATATTAGATAACTTCTAAAAAAAAACTCAAGGACATATGAAATATAGGTCTAATGGGATGGTCTCCATGGTTCACGTCTCTTGGCAGCTGACTGCTGGACAGACTCCAGCTCCTCTGTGACCCAAGAGGATAATGCAGATTAAGAAAATGAGGCAGTGGATGAGATGTTACCTTCCTAGATGCAGCTGTGGAAAGGATGGTGGAGAATGTTTTTATAAAGTGTTCAATTAATATGCATCATAGGGTAAAATGATACTGCAGTTTTGGCTTAATTATGTAATAAAAGTCTGTTTCCAGCTCTAAACAAAAATGCCTTCATGTTTTGTGCTTTTAGAGATGCTGGAGCTGAGTAATGATCAGAACAGGTAGCACTGACATGTAGAGCAGCAGTGAAAGGCTAAAGATTGAAATGTCTACCTGCTCCATGGCGAAATGAAGAGACGGCAAACGTTGAGCCGCATCAGTGGATAACACGTTATGACAACGTGGATAAGAAGGCGCTTACAATGCAATTACACACACACACACACTAACTCACACACATTGCACAGAGTAAACACACTGGTCCCCCCTTAGACATTAATAGTTTCAGGGATGAAGGGAGTGCAGGATCCATACCCCTCCACAGGCCATATTAATAGGATTAGGAGCAGCCTCAGGAGGACATGGCAGGCCAAGTCCAACGCTCCGTTTGACGTCTTTTGTCCACGAGCCCTGAGACGCAGCTCCCAGCAATAGGATGAGGGACAAAGGCTTTTGAATATTGCGATGTAGCTACAAATATATCCCGATGGGGGAACGCTGAACCTCAAGTTCCAGCAGATAAAACGGACAG